TTAATACTTATCCTAGACACAATGTCTGTACGTAGGTTATTGATTATTTATTCTTTATTAGGCTATTAAAATTGAAGATTATGAGCTATGAGCAAGCAACGTCATTTAACTCAAATCCAAAAAACTGTGTTTTGAGCGTTGGAGCATTGAATTCTATAGCATTACCTCTCTATACATTTCCAACCGTACTAACGTCATAGTTTCGAACATTTTCAGGGGCCCATGTTCATACATTTCATATAAAATTCCTTTGAATTACATCTGTTTTTCAAAAAGCGAATCATAACCAATTGTGATATAGATAGCGTTATGAAAGACAATAATTAATCTCAGCTATTAAAATAAAATTAAATAGCTATATATTTTTGGCAAATCGGTTTTATTGATTTCCCGTGGCTTAGAGAAAGACTTCCATGATGTGATTTATATATATATATATCTGAAAAGCTCAATCAAAATTTGGTGAAAGAATTCGTTAAATATTTACAGATTAAACATAAACGTTTTACGGATATGTATAATTACGTGGCTTATTACGTAATTTAATGTTGCCTTATTTTGTTAGTGTATAATACTGTGAAAAAGAGTAAAAAAGTATTGTTTATCAGCATAGATTAGCGAAGCAAAACCTTTAACCTGCATTCCTAAATATTTGTGCATAAATATTCAGAAACCAAAAAAAAAATTAATTCAGTTAATTTACTCAAGATGGTTGACTCTATCGTGCGTTTAGTGTCCGTCTAAAACTACATTTAGCATGGATGGGCGTGATATGCTCAAATTTCTATATCACGCTCTACTGTATTATCACAAGACTACGATTCACAAAGACGGACCCACCAGACCGATGTGGATGAGTCATCTACTCGTGGGGCTGTGTCAAAAAGTCTCTGATCTTATTCACGTTGAACAAACATCGGAACGAAAACAAAATTGCGAGTTCCGATTGTAATAATATCTTTCAGTTGGACTTAGCGATGGCGATGTTTTAAAAGCGTGATTCTGCGGTTTCTTTGAAAATGAACATATTGCGTAATGAGAGAGTCAAAAAAAATTAATGAAGCGAGTTAGTAATGAACGAAACTTCATTAAATCTATCAGGATCAGGAAGTCAGACTTATGAACTAATGGGTATATTTCACATTTTTATTGGCGACATAACGTGACGTTCGAATATGTTAGCAGAATGAATATTTTTGTCATATGTGTAGCAGGAAAGCAGGCTACAGCGTTGACATAGTTGTTAATCAAGTTGAATAAAAAAAATAGGGTGTTGTTTCGGAATGTTAATCGTAGTAACGTACTTCTTAATTTCACGTTTTTATAGCTTTTTGAAATAGCAATAATATCAATTTGTGCAAAATTCTCGACTCAATACCAATACAATTAAACCGATACCCATAATCTACGTCGATATATCGGTGCCGTGAATGGTGAGTGTTTATCATGCCTTGGTGGGTAAATTTTCACCAAGCAACACGTGCATTTATGCGCGTGCGTTTCATGACGTCATATGTGACGCAATAAGTCTGTGGAGTTCTATGTCTTCATGCTTTTGATTTGTCATTTTTAATTTTGGCGGTAAATCATTTGCCTACTTATATAGGACCAAATTCATTCGATTCGTTAGATATGATGTAATGAATCTAGTTTCCAAAAGCCATGCATAAGTACAACTATTAATAAATGCACGTAATGATTCCAGTAAGTTCACGTGAAGTTTATCCATTTGAGCAGAGTTTCGTCCATGAACATAAGTCTGATTCAATTTCCTGGTTTGTGGTATGTCTTACCCGTGTCTATATACCTTTACTGGCCATCTAATTAATTGCGAGCATTGTGCGAAAAGTTATCTGCGATTTACTATATATGAGTTAACGATACTTTTCTTGAATGTGAACACGCTGGCAGCAATCAACTAATGCTATAAAATTGCAAAACATAAATTGGAATTGCTTGTAATTTGGAGTTTCACTATTGTTTGGTATCTCTAACTAAAGTTCTCCAAAGTTCTGAAGTTCTTGTATTATTTAGAGGTGAACATTCATTGGCCTGTTGTTATCGTATTCAATTTGAACAAACTCGAATTTCCACTGGTATGGAACTTTAGTAATAATTGTCAAAGTGTCAAAGGTGTTTTAAGTTTCAGCTGAGGGTATTTTACGAATTTTCCAATGTGTTTACTAAATATCATCATTCGAAACTGTCATCAATAACTAACTTTCGGTTGTCCACGCGAATATTACAAAAATATGAATGGACTCGAAATTTCTCCCCATACCAAATTACAGAAATCATAAATTTTCGTTGGTAATTCACGGAATGTTACTGCGATCTTTGGTGTATAACTTTAGGGTCGTCAACAACGCCCCATCAATTAAAATTTCCCTGCGTCACAGTGTCGTTGCGTCATCGCACTCTTCTGTCAAAAGGATAGTAAAAGCGGGAGCGGTTCAAACTGGAATGTTTGATAAAACATCGCACAAGGTCGCGGAATTTTCCTTCATAAAATAGAGAGAATAAGGAGAGTCGTCCTGCACGCTCTCTTAGGCGATGACGTAGCTTAGTGTGCTCGGTCTCCAAATCATCTCTCGTTCTTTTGTATCCTCAAGGAGACTATTGAATAAAAAATGTACTAGGTTGTGTCTAACAGTAACCGTGCATGGGAGGTATCTAAGCTGAGAATAAAATATTTGTATTTTACTATGAGCAAAATATGCCATATTTAGTTGTATACTTCGGACTTATGTGATTGGCATTGTCGCAAGCGATGTCGATATTCAGCGATAAACATTAGAATAGATAACATCTGATGGAATATAATAAGGAATATATATTACTGTATTATAGTACGATACTCTCAAGGCAGGTGGGCATATATAAGACTTGTTTATATCTTTTTGCGTGGTCTAACTGAAGAAAACGAACAACTTTCTTTGCTTGAAGAAAGTTGCAAACAAAGTGTTGAAGGAGTTTAAGTGGTTTACTTTACCTACTGCGCGATGTGGAACGGAACCATTCTGTAAATATTGGAATGTAGGAGTGTTTAGATAAAGCGTCTGTGGTTGTTATATACGAAAGTAGTCTACATGCGTACCTTATGGTAGCTCTGGTACAGCAATGCGTGGTAAGAATGTGATAGTATTGAATTTTGTGTTCACCTTCATCGTTGAGAAGATACACAAATTTTAACTGAGGCCAGCAGAATATATTTTTTAGTTTCGGTTTGACTGAAGTCTTTCAATTTAAGTTTTGCTCATTTCTCTAGCCTAGACTAGTCCTTTCCCTAGCCTAAATTGTGACTAGTTGTCAATTGTTTGATTCATTTAATTCATCCATTGCGCTACCCTTGGTATTGATTTTGTTCAAGAGTGGATACGAGTTTGAATTTATCTCAATTATAGGATTTGGTCGCCATTCTTGAGCGCTTTCCGGTCGATACGAACGTAGTTCATCGACTATTCGGCAGATTGCAAAAGTTACATTTACGCCATGTACTAACTTTTTACATATATATAGTTTCTAAATTTTCCGGCTTTCCTGATATGAATAGGTGGAGAATGCAATTGTATTATTTGAGTACATTTAAATATTTAATCAAGGCATTGAGATAATGGATGTTGAGGTATACAAAAGTTTATCGGACGGGAAATAGTGATAAAGTGGTCCGTGTAGGCAGTGAGTGTACTCCTTTTTGGACACGAAATAGACCTATGTATTGTTTTAAACACGAAATCTACATATGGATCGTTTTGGTATTATTATATTGTTGTTATTAGTATTTTTTTCATTTTCTTCTTGTTTGGAAAAAATCGAAAAATATAGCTTTCGTGTCCATATATTTTAGCATTCTCTCTTGTTTCGCAGAAAGTCCAGATGAAAGTGTACTACAGTATTAGTTGAGAATAAGCAAGTTTGCCATACGACAGCGTTCTGATTCAGTTAGTATTGAGATCGAAAAGTGATTGAGGTTATCATGTCGTCGCGACCCAAGTCAAGCGTTTGTTTTTAACAAGAAGTCCTAAAAAGCCAATATAACTATCCAATTGGCAATGTAGAGCAAGTTTCCTCAAAAGGATGAATATAAAAATAGAATGTCTACAGCATAGATGTCATCTATAGGTAATAATTCTATTCAATCTTAGTTGTAAGTGTAACGCACGAATTTGAGGGTGTTAAAGCGATTTTTACACCTACGTTAAAATTGTCACTTCAACTGCGAAAATGTAGAATCATTCTCCGAAGTTATGGTTGCCTCACAGGCCTTACCAGTTTATGTCAATATGGGAAAGAAAACGCATAGTAGGAGGTCAGTTTAGACAATTTTTGTATACTGTACGTGAAAAGGGTTGAAAAAGTATTTACAGTAGACGGGTGGAGTCAATCGAAAATGATTGTGTTTTTGTAGTGTTTTATGACATCCGCCATATATTGACCGAATTCAAAATTTGCAATACTTTATGTTGTTTAAATTTTACTTTATATGCTTAAATGCTAATTTTAATTAAATTGAATTTTCCGACAAAGTATTCTGGGTTTGAGTCTGCTTTTCGTTCGTTTGCGTATTCCGACTGAATGTGACAAAAGTGTTGATAGAAAGTCGACAGTAGCCACTGACGAGCAGAAAATAGCCAATAAATTTATTCCTACGGCCGAATGTCGATAGAAAGCGCTTGGCAAAATACTTGAGCAGCTCGACAGTAAAGATGGTCAAAAATAAATGGGATACAATTCTGAAGGCGCAAAAATTAGCTTTGTATAGATGCGAAGCGAATGCAAAAAACTTATGTAAACGATCGGGCAAGTAGAAAATTACTGCAAAATTTTGTTGAACTAACTGATTACCATTTTTTGCCCGTTGAAGGCAGATTCCCATCAGTTTGATTATCGCAGTATGTCTGTCAAAAATTTTTCTGGCATTTCTATATTAGCCCGAAGCGTATAAATTACTGCCGTACTCAGATAACATCGAGCTATGTAGTGTGGTATTCAATTTTGTTTTTGTTTCTTTATTAGCTTTAACCTATCTTAACTTTAGGAATAAATAGATTTTGATTGTTATCGCATTTTTAGTCAATTTGTTTGTTGTGCGACACGACCTAAAAATCAGACGTTATAACTCTTAACACGTTCAACGAAGAAAACCATATTTGGTGCTTTGAGTCAGATTTAGCTCGGATACCTGAATACCGCATCTCAACGCCGCGGAACGACGAACAGACATCACTTCAACAGAGCGTGCCAAACTTTCACGCGATAGCTTCACGAAACATTTTGTCAGTGATTTCGACCAATCTACATCTGCTTTAATTTGTCCTGTTAGAAAAATCGATACAGTGATATCAAGTAGAGAAGAAACGAACAATAGAGCATGCCGGTTTCAAGAAATTTGTCACTGCCGGCATCCATTGAAGGACGGAAAAAGATAAGGCCAGGTAACGAAACATATTTCTTGATGCACTGAATAATGCAGAATAACAAAACTTTAAAAACTGTATTGCTGTAGACGTACGAGCGATGTGTTTCAGGTATTTAAACGTCAACAAGTGCTCAACTCCGTCCGCTAAAATTCTACGTTTAAACGAACTCAATTTTTCAATTTCCAGCTTTATTTCTATTTACGTACTCGTTTAAAGTCAAAATCTACGATTATTCTGCTCATTTCAAAAACAATCCCAAAATGTTTCCGTCTTGCAAAGAAAGTTTTTTAAAGGAGGCGCTAACCTGAAATTAATCTCCTCTATTAATGTGTGGGTTTTTAAATTATACCAAGCTAATTTTTGGCGAAATTTGTATACAGGGAATGTACAACAACACTTATTAGAAGTAAAACGGTGCTTGTCAGTTATGTTTTGTTTTAGTCGAATACTGACACATAATTGAGGTATTTTCAAATTATCCTGATTTTTGCGCATGAAAAAGTGTAGAACAAACGTGTGATACTATTTTCGTTGACTCAATTTCATCACTACCTACAGAGGTAGTATTATATTACCTGTAACGTGCTAACTGGTAATTCTCGTCGTGTGGTCAGGATAGTTGGTCTGCACGCAACATTTTAATTAATAACCTCCATGTCGTCATCAAGGATCTGAGTGATTATTAAAATATTTTCTCTTTATTATTCATTTAAATTTTGATTTTGCTGTAAAATGCACTTGAGATTGTTGGGATTTTTGCTAATTAGAGGAATGTTAATCGGCTGTCAGGATGTTCCATCGCATGCGACGCATATTTGAGCTTTCGTAGTAGTGCATATATTTAAAATGATAGAAGTTTGATCAAGTTTTTGATAGACCGTTAAATCGTCGTCAAAAACTGATACTTTTCTATTTACTAGCTCTATGTTCAGGCCAATACTCATAAAATAAAAAGATTTAACTACAAGAAAAAAATTATATCGAATAAAATGTTGAAGTGAATAGTTCTTTCACGATTGTATTATACAAAATATGCTCCCCAACAAAAACAAACAATAATTATGCATGTTCAACCATGACTGAAAAGTGCGATATTATGAATAATTTATATCTATTTTTTGGAATTGATATTTGGTTGAATTTTCAAAATTCCCGAAAGAAGTAAACGAAGAGGAATTGTTTATGTTAGCTGTTCATGCTTTTGTCTTCTGTGGGATGGTTTGTCACGCGACCGTCGAATTATCTAAAATTACTGTGCTGTAATTTTCGTCAATTATCTAACTTTACTCGGTATTACGTGATTCATTTTTAAGCGCTCCGCTAAACGATTAGTGGTGCGGGTTTAGCAACGAGATAAACAGAATAAAATAAATAAATAAAGGTATGTTTTTATTCAATTTCCAAAAAGCAAAGTCTTAAAGCACAATGTGTTGACACCTACTATAGTTGCTACGTCATACTATATTGAAAGCTTTAGAGGGGGAGCGGTATTGTTTCGACTGCGGGTGGTAGATTGCGCGCATACCATGTCTTTTGTTATCTATTCTTCTCATTGTTCAAATCGGCATTTTGCTATTGTGGCTGCGATTGTGTTACTAACACACTTTACACACGTCAGTGCCATCCGAATGTCTTTGTTTAATCCGATATCCTAGAATACACAGACACCCAGGTGTTATAAAGTGAATTTCATTAGTTTTGACCCTGTAAGGTTTCACATTCACTGCTCATAATGAAATTGTTCGTTCTTCTGGACACGGAAAAGTTATACCGTGGGCGTGACCAATATTGTCCCTGAGCAGTTGTATGATAACCTCGGTTGGACATATACTATACACTACATACACAATTACATGAATCACTGTTACTAGATAATCACAATCGTGGAACCTGCATTAAGGTAACTAACATAAAGTTGTAATTGAGTGGCCCGACATAATGAATGTGTCGCGTATATCGTAAATAGGCCCTTTTATGTGAAATGGGTAATCTGGTTCAGGTGGGTACAAATTTTATTCATCCAAACGACCTCACCTAAGTCACATATAGGCACCTGTCGTATGTAGCCTTCTAATCTATAGCGGGTGTGACGTAATGGTTTTGATATATTGAATTATTACAGAATTATAAATCAGGAGTTCCGAAACTGAAGCCCACGACCTTACCGTGACCAATTGTTTTGATGACGAACAGGCCGTCGGTCTTGCCACACGGCTGTCGACTACGCTGGCTGTGACACCATTCTATATATTTTGTTTCATATTATAGTCCTATTCAAAGCACCCTGGTTTCTTGCCTATCCTTTAGGCAGAACTTATATTGTGAGCGAACAGATGTTTCATGTACTTTTAAAAAACCATTGCGTCATTGTTAAGAGCCATCAGCAAACCGCTTCAACAATGGATATTTGGCGAACTGTGAAAATTGTTGATTCTTGGCGCTATGTAGATATGATTTGGTATTTGAGAAGTTTTTACAATGACTGCTGAAAATATGTCCGTATCTGATATACTGTCATAAAAACATCTTGCAAGGTAGAAATAAGTGCCCGCATTTTTGGAATTTATACCACCTTCTTTATTGTCCTTGTTTCATCTGATATATGAATATGGTACAAGACGCGCCAAGGCTTGGAACCTTATTCGTTAACTGTTGTCAGAAAAAAAATCGAAGTATGAAAGATTTAATTCTTTCAGAAATGATCCGGCTCGACATGAGTCGAGCACAAGACGAAGGTTGTCCACTCTTAAGTTGGGTGCGTTTGTAAATGATATACAATATTATTCAAAGCCTAATTTTGTAAAATACAATAGAATACAATGATACGATGTTCCGATTCAGACCTATTATTATTCAGTTTCACGTATTTGTCAAAAATTCCGTAGGTAATGGTATCAAATATCGGTATCACTTCTAAAAATGTATCCGAGATAAGTCATTCTAGTATGATGATAACTGAGCCCCTGTTCGCAATGAATGTATTCAAATGATGATAATTCTTTTTGAACCGATTGATAGGAAGCTTTGGCCAATGTTGAATGAAATATTTTAATTTCTCTGATTCGTTATTCAATAGCCAATTATCGCATCCCGCTTTTCTTTTACCAGTACCAGTCTTAGCGAAAATTTGACACGTTCGCGTTGAATTTAATGGTATCCTTACGATTATAGTAAATAGCAAAGTGATAAATCGAGATGATATCTCGGAACTTTTGGTTGAATAAAGCTGGGCTTCGGTTTTTGCTGTCACGGTAATCATTTTAAATTTTAAATCATTTCAAAAATAAATTGTTTTGTTTTTGTAGTTGTATTCTGACAGCGCACCGCGGCGAGCTAGAAAAACTGTAAAAATACTAGTTTTGACTCATTAACCGCACATTCAAGCTTCGCACGCGAGGGGTTGACGTCATAGTATAGAGAATCGAAAACGCCGCGTCGTCGTCGTCTTTTTAAGAGATAAACACCACAAGACAAGGAAACGAGGGTTCAAAATTAATAACTCAAAAAAGGTTCTGACCCGTGATCGTTTGACCAAGATCATTCGCTATCCTGATCTATAGCGTCATTTTCCTATGTATGAAATGAATATTGATTTTTTTTTATGTCACCTCCTACGTTTTTCGGTGATATTGACCTGATATGCAGCACATATTTGTACTTTTCAACGCTTTAGTGTTATGGGATCAGGTAATCATCGTGCGTGATCAAATTGAAGTATATAAGCAACTACGAAAGACACGATTGATTTTCATCCACGAATTCGATGGTTTTTCACTGTCATTTACTGTCGACTGCCGAGTAAATGGTTAACATTAAAGTGATATTTAAATAACCCTCAATAGAGTTTACATAGTAAGCGTTATTGTTGTTTGCTTTTGCCTTTTACACTACTTACTACCTTCATTTATTTTTCACAATGTTCAGTTTACACCGTAGAATGACCTGCTGTAGTTAAGATTTCTCTTGCATTCGTTATCGTGCAATAACCGAGCGATTCATAATGGTGGTAAAAAGTTTGTCGGACATGGAGCAAGCACAGCCTTCTCCCATTGTGGGAATTCGACAATGTATTTTTTTCACAATTCAATACTAACTCACTTTTGCAAATATTAAAATTCGCTGGAGGAAATACGAAAAGGAAATGTTTAAATTTTAAACTTCTGGTTAATGATCTACTCAAAACAAATATTTATTCGTATACTGATAGCTTGGTTGTAGTAATCTGTCCTAGTAAAACGACCCACGCCTTGCGAAGAGTAAATTTCCTAATCATGTATCTTGTGGAGAAAGCACTGAGTAACTTTCCTGTTAGTTATTCATTATTATCGTTATGAATTTATTGTGTAACATGTACGAATAAAGATAAAACGTGCTGCTGATGGTTGGCCTAATACGCTAGTATATCATACCGCCCGGCCATTCAGTTCATAGTACTAAGCAGAAACTTACAAATAAACTGTATCGGATATTAAACGTACCTCTCGGCACCATAATACAATCAATTGAATTGGCTGAACGGCGATACTGGAATTATTCATATTATCTTTATCATAATTTTGACAATAATAACATAGAATAATAACAAGAGAGTTCTTAATGTATTCCGTTATAATTTGAAATTATTAGTATGACACGGAATGCAAGTTCGTTTACCCTTAAAAATGTCTTTCTTTTAAATTGACGTTCTTGAATTGTCATTCAATCAATATTATTTGTTTGATGTGTGTGCCGATATTATTTGTTTCTTGCAACAGAACTAGTTCTACTGCGCCCTCGTTGAGAAAATATATCATATCATTTTCCAACATCACAAAACTGATATATTCAATTGTTTTTATACATATATATGAACTGTGTTATCAATAGATATGCCGATAATTCATGCTACAAAATTCAAAGTTGAACAGGTTACGTATTATGACCTGGTAAAAAACGCACAATGCTTCTATTGTTTGAGAAATCTACCGTTATCATGTTTACGCAGCCCAGGGCATTTATGTCATACGCGCCACTGTGCATTTTGTAGTTTTCCATCATGACTTACACTAACAATATGGTGCTTCAGGACATTTTTTCAAAATTTTTCTATTCTTTTATTTCGAAGAATATTATTTCATAACTACTTAGGCTCAAATACGATAATAATCAACTATAGCCCAAATGTATTTCTACATTTCAGCAAATTTTCTTTGCTGGCCACGAATCGATTAAGTATGCCGCTCATGTTTAACGAACAAGTGAATGTATTTGTGAAGACGTTTTCATATATGGCCAGAGTTTACGAAAAGGAATTTGATTCAATGACGATTAGTTTATGTAATCCATTACCTTGTAAATATCCAACAAGGCATTGTTTACACTTTTTATCGCGCTCGCGTGAGAAGACAGTTCATGTATTCCCTTGAGTGTTTACGTTTAGCTTTTGTGCCTAAGAAGAAAGAAAATAGGTATCGAGTTATTTTTGGAATTGAGGATTGTATTTGAACAAAAAGTTTGTAACCTGACTTTTGCCTTAGGTTACGTACTTAATTTGATGAATAGAAATATTATTGTTTTCGAGTAAAATATGTATCAATATATATAATCTTATACAAGAATGCCGATATTCAAATTAATAAAATTAGCTCTGTCAACACTCCGTGGTCGAGAAACTACAATGTTATTCAATTTGATGCCTATGGTAAATGAGATACATAAACATTATTGTTTTGGGAGTTAATTCATTTCATGGTCAGATATTATTGTTGCGAACCCATGGAATACTTCGTTAGTTGATGCCTTTCAGTGAGAAAATCGATATTTCTGGTATACTCCTCTCGATACAGTATATTCTTTTCCAAGCAAGGATTTAAAGTACCATTCCATTTTGTTCATGGCGGTAAAAACAAGTTAACACCAACTATACTGCAAAAAGTCTTAATAACGTAATGTTGACCCCACTAAATAAAAAGGCATAGGGCACATGCCCGAGAAGCGGACTTGCTGCGAGTTCAGGATATCCCAAAAGACATATGAAAGTCTTCGCTAATCTAACAGATATTTTTTACCGATTTTTTTCTTCTACTGATATCCTACTTTATCGGATTTAATCGGGTTTAGTATAATCCTTATAAATATAAACCATGTTAATACTTTACTAAATCAATGCTTGCTTCAATGGATGGAATAAATAGTCGATTACGTCATGGTCAAATGTCGTTCGGCGGCTTTGAATGTCTGTTAATAATTCCGAGTCATAAAAGTAGCATTGCTGGACAGGGCGGACGTGTTGTTCTCTATTAATGGCCATAGCCAAATGTCTTGTGTGATAATAGTAGCGCACATATTTTCTGACGTAGTTACTGTTAAAAGTTCGACCCTGTCAAGAGTTGATATATGCTATTATAGGCATGTGTTTGAAAGGTTCCATTACATTTGAACCCACGTACATTTGAACCCATGACAATTGCACCTGTATGCTATTGCACCTATGGAATTTTTTTTGTTTCACGGATAGTTAAACCCATACTAACCCTAACCCATGGGTTTTAGCACCCGCGGATAGCACCCGTGGATATACGCATGGGTTCAAATGTACGGTCACCGTTTGAAACTCTTTGCTCTTCAGTGTATTGAATCATTGATAAAGGATGGGCAGATTTTATAACTAGTAATATTTATATTAACGTTATTAGTCAAAACAGTATGACATTAAGACCGAGGTTGTTGAATTTAACCCTGAAATGTATGTTGGAATATTGGCTGAACAAGTCTGGCGCTATTTTACGTCTCCGCACCACATTCGCGATTACGTCATTAAAATGTTTAGACGAATTGTAAAATCCTCTTGAGAGTTGAATTTATTCTTTGTACATGTGAGCCCAATTACCCTCTTCATTTAAGCGCATATGGAATATAGAACGATATGACTCGGTACAATGGTTGCGTTATATTAAAAAATCGATGTGACAACCTATTCGTCAGCCAAACTGAGGCTCATGGTCTTGCTATTTTTACAGTCAAATGAGGAAACTTGCCAGTCATTCCGATTTTTCATCAACTTGCATTCGTCAGGCCTATCAGCCTGTTTTCTTGATTATTACGTCATTTGAACATTGTAATCATAGATCTATTGATGTATATATATATATATATATATATGGTGTTATCACTTCGCCAGTTCGGTCATATGGTCTTCGAACCATATGTGGAATATTCATACTATCTGTTTCTATCACTATAGACTTGGAGTGTACGCGTTTAATAATTATTTTTAGAAACTTTTCAGGTTGGCTTTACGTCTCTTATTATTGTCAAAGCAAATCGAAATTGTTTGGCCAGTTTTCTTTTGTATTCATCGATAGCTGTGTGATAATGTGTAATGTCCATAATGCTGATTCATTGGCGACAACTAGATTTAGATATATGATAATAGCTCTACGCTCACATGGAGCCGATTTGGTGTATGTTGCTAAGATAAAAAAAAAATTAACGGGAACAAACCCGTCGTGTTTCTTAGAGGCAGGCATTGTGTTTTAAATATGACCTGAGATAATTCAACCAACGCGTTTTTAGTGATTTCATGTATGACATGTCCCTAATCACATTTCAATATGCGTGCTGTATACACTACCATGCTTGAGTAGAACCAAACATCGCACGCGATTTTAAAGTCAACCTTTTGCCAGATATTTCAGATTACGTAATGCTTAACCGACTTATTGTTCGCATGAACAAAAGCGAGAGAGCGAAAAGGGGAAAAAAGCAAAGAAAATACGTAATCTATTTTCGAACTCTCTCATATTTATACATTTTTGCTCATACTGAAACTGTCCTTTCAGCAAGAGCAGGAGGCTGTTTGTGGGGAAGGAGATGTTTTGTGATGGCGATAACTTGTATAATATTAGCGATAGCGGGATATATAATATTCCGAATAATGGCTAGACTACATTGTAAATTAGTAATATGTAAGTCCATTGCTAATACATCGTTACCGAGAAAAATGTTTGTCGAAATTTGACGAGCGCGTAGCCCAAGCGATACTTTAAGCAACCTAATTGCGTAGATTGATTATGATGTAGTGATATTAATCAACTGCCATGGTACAGCAGCATGATAGCTTCCAAAGAGCCCACACTTACTAACAGTTGCGCGGTTTCAAGGCAGCCAGTGAGCTAATTCGTATCATTCAGGAAACGCGACCGTTAGTCAATATGTGAAGCACACAGTCAGTCGCTTTTACGTGTATGTTCCTCGCGCATGAACATTTCTAGAGCGTACTGCAGGCCAGTCAGTGTACTGAGCTTCAGGCAGACGACCAAAAAATCGATCGATTTCGGTTGGATTTTAGTTTGAATTTAAGGGACGCGATGCTATAATATATCAAATTTGGCTTTCAGTTCGTTTCAACAAATTGTGCAGCAGTCATTTTTTGAGTATATTCTATTCGTATTATACGAAAAGATTGTGCGTGTAACAGATACAATACTTTGTATTGTTTTATTCGCAAAATATAATGCTTGCCATTTTTTCTTTTCAGATTCATTATTTCGGAGTAATACAGAGGTGCACAGTAGTAGTGGTAGCAGCATACACAGGAGTAAACCTGTTGATTTGTCTTCGCTGCTCAAATTACATAGACCGAATTTTTTACCAACGACTTTGGTACCAGTGAAACACAATAATAATAACGACGAAATTGTTACCGAAGACGAATCAGTCACACCAACAAACGAAAGCAACAATATCGCTGCTGAAATTGAAACATCTAACGTAAGTGGAATACAATTACAAATGGGGACTGCGTTTGAGCGTTGTATAGATATAAAATTTTAAGCTCCGATTCGTCCATATTTGAATGTGTAAAACTAAATAGAGAAAATATTAAATCGAATAAGCTGAGATTTCTTTACTAACCTTTTTAAAATACTAGGTATGTATAAACGAACAAAAAGATAGTGAAAAAAGTCGTAAGCGAAATTATGGAATTATAACGTCTCTTCTCAGCTAATATTCGTCATTATTGGTAGCATTTTTACACTCACTGATTTTCAGCAAGTTTCATGCTAGTTAAATATGTAAATAATAAGAAAGACTTTCACGAGTATCTTTGTATAGGAAACTGTAATGGGAGTGGATACAACTACGACTCGGGGAGGCACACTCTCTCAGCCATGTCTCTCTGCATTATCAAATGTGGGAGCTACTCAAATATTTCCTCACTTGTTTCTTGGATCTCAAAAAGACGTTGTCGATGAGGTGAATATGAAAGCATTTATCATTACTTGTGGTTGAAATTATTACTAATAATATGATATGTTTTTGGCCTCGTTTTTATCCCTGATTAATTACAGTGTTATGATTGCGATTTGAGTAGGTGATAGCGACTATACGCTACCATTTTTGCTTGAACTCGGCGATAAGCTGTTATTACCGTTGTGCATGCTATACCCAAATCGGTATGTCAAAATCTTACATATCCAAGATGGTCTTATTTTAATTTTATAGTATGGCAAAATTGTCTTAAATTAACAAAAACCCTTATACTATTCTTTGTTTTAATCTATGCCTAATAATTCAATTGCTTACCCGGATTTTAACTATAGCCCAACAACAATGTTTTAAAACGAAAGGTTAATCTCAAAATAGAAGTTTGATCATGTCTATCTAGTCTAGGCAATTTATCCCGTGATTATTATTATTAATTTGTTGGACAATTAATTTTTAATTGCGTTTTTGTTTCGCACACGGAGCGCCGTATTGGTCTTTCTGTACTCGCCCCAAATTTCAAGTAACTAATTTGGTGTTATTATATATGTGCCGTTACCTTATGAATAGGATAACTTTGAGTTGTCGTCAAAATTTAAAAGACGGTGTGACACGGTGTCGCAATGAGCGGATTAAAATATAAACCATTTAAGATCATGACGTCATATTAACGAAAATGGATGTGATGGGTTTTCAATGTTCGCTGTCTCAATGACTCAACGTCAAACATTTCACTCGCGAATGATCTTCTCTGGATAACGAGGAGAATGCCCGTAGTCTATCTGCCCGACCAACGTTGGCCAGCATTAGTCAATTCTTAAAATAGTACTAACTACAAGAGCTGTTGAATAATATTGAAACAATTTGCTTTTAACCAATCTGGACAGATTAGATTTATATCCACTTACACGCTGGGCAAGGCTATATAACCTAGAGTGAAATCACGTTTAAAGGAGTAATTGGCCAACACGTAATTCATCTCTTAATTATTTTCCTTGTAATTATGCCAAATTCATATCAACCCCACATTGCTTTGAATTATTGTTATAAAAATTGTTGTTATTGATACCCAGCCCGAAGAGCACTGTTACATAAATTTATTATGCCTTATCAGAGCCTCGATTATGATACATGCAGATGAAATTATTTTGACATTTAACCATTTTCAAAAATCGCCTTTGGCCTATATTATACGCCATCGATATTTTTGATTGATATATACCTCAACCTATCGATTATGTTATGTAGGTGACTTTAATGAGAAACTGACACGATAATTTCCGGAATTTACTCTTCAAAAGTCAAAATATAAAATATAACTCCAAAAAAGAACCCCGAAAAGGCGCTCAGCGGGACAACTCTCATTATTCAACGTAGCATACCACCTATAGATTATTACCAAATAGCAATATTTCGAAATTCTACGTATGTTTTATATAGTGTTCTGCGCAGATGGTCTGTCACAATTCATTAGTATCAATTGGCTGACATATACTCGGAAAATATGCATAGAGCGGTGTCGTCATATACTAATCAGGACAGTGACGTAATGCGGCAGCATTGGTATTGTTGTTAATAAAACTAGAAACGATACAGCGCAATATCGCACAAATTGATCGTTTCTGACAGCCAATACAGAATTTTCTCATTGGTCGCTAAACGTGACATTTCATGCCAATTTACCTGGTAATACAATGCAATTTTTTTGTCAGGAGAGCGCTGGAAAAAAATAATATTTCATTTTGTCTAGTGACTAGTCAATCAAGTAATGCTTTTATGCGAAAGCCCCATGACGAATACATTGCCCTAATTAACAACGTTAACTAACTTTACCCGTTTTACAGAAAATGATGCGATCTAACAGCATCACGTATGTGTTGAACGTCAGCAAAACGTGTACAAAACCTGAATTCATAGACGACAGTCACTTTCATAGGATATCAGTGCGAGATAATTACCAAGAGAAAATGACGCCATACATCAAAGAAGCCATCGAATTCATAGGTTAGTTACAATACATCAGTTGCATATTGTTTAGGGGGATTTATTGAAGAAAGATAACAATTACTTGCGGTTTCAGCCAAAATTGTCTCAGTTTTTGTTGAATATATGATTTGAGCAAGCGCTAAAAAACATCGATTTTTTTTCAGAAAAAGTAAGGAAATCCAACCAACGTGTGATTGTGCATTGCTTAGCAGGTGTATCTCGATCTGCTACAGTCGCCATTGCATACGTTTTACATTACCTACGAATAAATTTCGAGGACGCATACAGGTAATTCGTTTTTTTTTTCAACAGACCAATGAGGAATGCGACATTATAGTTTGATTTATCTATGGACCGTGTGGTACCGTTTTTGGTATTCGGACTTGTTGTCGTGGTAATAATACTGCCATAGTTATTACACACGGCACTTGAAATCAATTTACATTTTTATGTTCTTGTCCATACATGGAGAAGACAGGTATTTTGTTGCCCATGGGCAAATTACGAATTACATTGTAGAAGTTGAACGCGGCTTTTGTCAGTGATTCCGAATTTTCGAAAATGCCCGCTGGCCTTTCATCGGTTTCCGGAGTAGACTTCCGACAGGTCTAAAAATTGGATTGTTTCATGATTGGCGCTAGGAGTGAATTCATGGAGTGGAGTTTTACAACTATTCTGATTTTGAAAATGCAAGGCTTCCCATTTCTGTCTATTATGTTGTTTTGAATTATTTTCTGCTGTGAATGAATATGCAGTTTAAAATTTCTATGGCCAATTACTTCTGATAACATCACACAGACATTTACTAAATGCACTTTCACATTTCTTGCAGATTTGTAAAAGAAAAGAGACCATCAATATCACCGAATTTCAACTTTCTTGGTCAGCTGATGGAATTTGAAAGAAATCTTAAATCAACGGGATACCTCTCTTCCAAGCGGACTGGATCGCTATCTGAGGGCAGCGAAGAAGATTCCCAACAAACTTTCAATTGTCAACAAAATAAAATAGGAGATCATCCCGGCAAAACATCTCTACGTCTCAGCTTTTTGAAAACCGGATCCGATTGTTCTCCGCTTTCCATGCCACCTGCATGTTCTTTCCAGTGTTCAACACAAGATAGCGAACCTTTGCAATTGTCATCAGAGTCATGTATCAAAATCTCAACTCCGACATCGTCGTTTTGTCGACGTCGCAAAGGGCCTACTTTTTCGAAAATGTCTTTCTCATTAGCGAACAATGCAAATAACAACAGTTCGAATCGAAAATGCGATACACCTATGCCCAAATTTATGAATTCAAAAAACATGTTTGGAAGTAAGTCTGGAAGATTACTTGTGGATATCAGAGTTGACTCCCCGTCCACAACAACGCGTGTTCCAGATTCAAGCCGACGTCTCGGTAGTGATGGATTTGAAAAAGATGAAAACATGGCTTGTGATTCCGAGACTCCAACTTATACGTCTGGACCTTTCATTTCACCGTGCTCTCAGGGTGTTTCGTTTTCAACTAGTCATCAGGCTATGGAATGTAATACTAGCGACAGTTCCATAAGCAATCAAAAAAATGACGGTGAATTTCTGAGACCTTATGCGAATCCTGTCACTTTATTGGTGGGAAGTAAAAATGAAAGCAAAACTCCAACGTGGCATCCCGGAAATCTTTCGGCACCAAAAGTGACACGACACAGACGAAGTGCTAGTGGTGGGGGAATAACCAGCGAAATATTGCAGTCGCCCTTTAATATGAAGCGGAGATTCGAACAAGCTCGAACTGAACGTTCCGCTTCGATCGGTGACGTCAGTCTCGGCGACCAGTTAGCTAGCGTAGAACATTGTACTAGCGTGAAACGAGGAGGTTCTTTCTCCGGCATGGGATCGTATTACGATTATTCGGAACCTTCAAGTCGATCTCCACATAAATTCGTTTCTGTGAATTCGAGAAGTCCCAAGATCCTTCGAAAGTCATTTCACCTAAATCTTAAACCAGTTTATTCGCACACGACATCACCACCTACGTCTAAAAACGGTTCCAATAAATCAGAAGGGGCCACCGCTCCTATTAGCATACCGGGTGTTCTAGGCATGGATACTCCCGTACCAGTCTTTGATTGTTCGCACATGTCAGACAGTTGTGGTGGGTTGAAAATGAATTCCAACAAAAGTTCGGCTTTTCCTGGCCACTCTGTTATCAGAGAAGGGGTCACACCAGATGAAAGTGATGATACTTTGGAAATCAAGAGCATGTCACCATTAACGTTATCGTCACCAAATGTTGACAAAGATGGTTGTCCGTCGTTTCCTACATCTAGTAGTTTAAAGACAAGGACGTCACCAGCGACCTGTCCAATATTGTCAACTGTTCCCTCCTTTTCATGTAACGAAGCTGGCATGACGTCGCCGCGTTTTATATATAAATCATCTTTTACATATACATCTACTAAATCGAAGCCATTAACGGACACTAAGACAAATACACCTTTCACCCTGTCTGCACCGTGTGATTTAAAACTCAAATGGAGAAATAAAGAACGCAGAAGACAGAGTGTTGACTCAGGATATCTGTCATCACAAGCATCATCTCAATCATCATCTTCCTTCACATCGCCAACATCACAACAAAGTGTTTTTGGATCAGCCTCGATTCACGAATCATTCAATGACAACACGGACAATACATCGACCCCGACCACATCGCCTACAAATGTCGGCAGTTGTCATGTCGAGGGCGCTTTCGATGCTTCAGACGAAGTATCGACAACGCCCCCCGACTCTGAGAACCGAAAAACAAACGTCAGACAAAGAAGTACTGTTGAAATCATGAGTTGTTCATGACTAAACGGGTCCGAACAGCTTTGAAGCTGGAATTGCTGACATTCCTGTTCACAACCTCTGGTCGAATACACCAAGGAGTCAGACACGCAAGGTTATGCCCCATGGGCGGATAAGCTTCTATCAACCGATATATGCAGTATTCAGAATATATATGTTGTAGCAACATGCATTGCAAATCTGCTTGTGGTGAAAATTGACGGTCATAAAATATTATATTTTTTCAATCTTGCCGACCACTAGTATTGCGGAAAACCATTTTGGCGATTGATTTTTGGTATGATACACAACGCAGATTCGGGAAAAATACTTCTGATATTAAATCTCAAACGATGGACTGTAATCGGTCCTGTGAATTTATGACATTTTGTACAAACATTTCATACCAATTCCGGTCGTGCCCTGAGCGATCAAATATGCCATATATGCTTTAAACTGGGTTATTATTACTGAAAACCAAGAGGAAATTTACCTCTGGATATAGATTTAGAACAGCTTTCTTTTTCCATCCGAATACTTGAATTAGGATACATTGATTAGGTTAGGCATATATCATTTAAAATAATTTTCTGTGACAACAGTGTATAATAGTTTACCTCATTTAACGACAGGCGAAAATATTAGACGATTCCTTGCATAAGTGATAAGTTTATAAGCAGATCACCCTTGACCACAGCTGTTTTTGTGAGATTTTATGTCAGCGTCGTCTTCTTTATTTCGCGTTCGATTGTGCAATCATTATTTTCTTTTCATTTTTGTTCAGTTTTGCAACGTTTCGAATCAATGTACCATTTGCATTATCAATACTAGTACGGTAATCTATATTTTTAACTAGCCTTTTAGATTTTCACGCAAATTTTTTTTTTCACACAACGAAATGTATATTCGACACGAAATCATATATGTTGTGGTATGATCCAGTTGCGTCTTTTTTGACTTTTTTCAAACGCATCAGTGCGCGTAGAACCGAATGAGTTCTAACTTTTCTAAAATTTTCATTTTATGATAATGAATGAACATCACGGTACTAACGAATTTCATACAACAAATATTTATTTGTATAACACCTGCACAAGAAAGTTAGGAAAATCTATATTTTATACAGTGTGGTTGTTTTTATGAATGAAACACATATTGTTGAAAGTTGAGTTCAAATTGAATCATTTTTGTCCATGGTTGGTGTGATTGCATTTTGTTACACAGTCCTGGGTTAAGTTTTGTTTGCGTTCCAAGTTTTTGTTTTATTCTTATTATAACAATTAATTTCTTAGCGTAAAATGAAGAAAACAATAAAAATATTCGTCTGTTCCAACAGAGTTTCTACCGTTTAGGAGTGCAGCTAAATTGAGAGGCATTATTATGAGATTTGTACAGTTAACAGGGATTGTGTGGTCTCGCACTTAATAATTGAATATGATGGACAGAATAACTCCACGATATTTATGTAAGTGAGTGTACTAGCTCCTCCTTAGACAAGTTTGGTGCTTGGAATTAATTTTATGAGTTTCTGCTAACTATATGCTTCGACAAGGCTTCAGCTGATAGGAACTTAAAAAAAAAAGACTTTATTACCTGTGAAAGGTCGGGGAAACGAGGCCTATCCTGACTCAGTAGTTCTCCACAGGAATCTTCAATGCTAAAATGAAGCGATATGTCTGCTTCGCAAGTAGATATAACTTTAAATCCCGACTGTTAACTATTAGAATGGTTATAGGTCTCTAGGGTACAGCTACAGGTTGACTTTGTTTGATAACATCCATGATATGTATAGACAAACCGTCTGATAAAATCTAGGACGAGATGAAAGCAATCAGCATTTTCCTAATATTCAGTTCCCCAAGTCGTTGTAAGCATTTGCACTGTAGACGTCATAGAGCGACCAAGGCGTGATTTCGAAAACAACCACCAAGACTGTAGATTTTGTTTCCAGAATATGATGTATGAACCACCCTAGATTCCGTTAATTTCAGACCAGGATAATATTTGTGGTTAAGATTTATTATCATGCAACCTGAATATTACTATCAAAGCAAACAAGAGAGCGATGCTTAAATACATGGAAACGAAATCTAAAACAAAGTTTCGCGTAGCGTCGCGTCAAATCGGAAACCGCCGTCACGCTTGGCGGATTAAACTACTTGTTCCCATGAAAAAATGAAGATATAGCTGGATTTTCGATTAAATATATATCAGATCTAATAGAATTTATAGAAAATTCAGGAATAAATAAAAGCAGTAGCCTTCTAGCGCAAAATTCAGTATTCAACCACTGAAAATTTCAAAGTAATTGGTCCATTAGTCTTAGTGAATGAGTACAGCGATTTTTTCACAACAAGATGAAGAATAACAAAAACATAATAACATGACGATCCATAGGTTTACAACGTGTTCAATAGGAGAGCGATGCTCAAATATATGAACACTAAGACCAAAGCGAAGTAGTACAGCTACGCAATCTCTCACAGTATACTACCGGTACCGCAATGTTCCCGACCACCAGATCGTGAACACGCAACCTTCACAAGGTGCGCGATTTTTAATTTTGATGACTCCCTCGCACACAAAAAAAACGAACCTTATAGAGCAGTAGTCGACAACCTATGGTAATCTGCGCTGGAGGAGCAGATCATTGGACACGGAAGGGGACCTATGAATCGTTTTATTGGACACGTAGTGGACATAACGATCTTTTCAATATTATGTTGGTCTTGTTGTTGTTGTTGTTGTTGTTCTTTGACACTTTTTGGACATCTAGTGGAAAATCTAAAAAACCGCTTTTCTCTTTCATTACTGGTCCGATTGCTTCGAAATTTTTACTGGTTAAAGATGAAATTTCTCCAGAAGGCTATTACTTTTATTTATTTCAAATATTTCTGTTAGCTCTGTGAAATTTTTTTTGTTTGCTATGACGTCACCGAACGTTCTGCGGACGCATAGCCGACAATTCTGTTCTTTTTGATCACGTTCCATCGAACGTCGATGGTTCGTAACGAAGTCCTTACGGTACTTTGCTACGATTTCTTCCTTACGCTGTCTTACTACGGTACTGTACAGTACAGTATTGCAATAATGTTGGTTTTCTTCTCTGCGGGGACGTTACCGTACCGCCTTAGCGAAAGTTGGAAGTCCTACTGTACTGCTTCGCTTGGTGTGAATATATTTGTAGACTGTGATCTGACGGTACGGTAAACCGTACTGTACTGCGAACAGACGTGTCCATATATTTGGGCGTAGCTCTCTTGTTAATATTATGTTGTTCTTCATTAGTTATTCTTTTTTCTATCGTTATAAAAAATCGTTTTTTTTTAATTAATGAAACACTTGCTTTGAGATTTCCAGTGGTTGAAAATAGTATTTTTCGATAGAAGGCTATTACTTTTATTTATTAAAAATATTTCTGTGAGCTCTATGCGATTCGTGTGCTATGACATCACCAAAATGTACGCACCTTGTGGCGGTTCCGTAAACGCATTTCAGCGGATCTCGTACTTAGCGAAAGTGTCACATTTAATGTCATTTGTAATTTTTGACGACTTAGTCCACGAGTCGTTGCAGTGTTTGCTCGCTATTTGAAAACTCAAATTTCAACTTCTGATCTGTGTAAAAAATGGGATTCATCAGCCACCCGTTCGGTTATTAACTTTCTTAAAAAAATATGTGCGTCCCGCCAAGATTTACAACCCCTAATTTAGGCCCGCGAGCAACAAGAGGTTGCCGACCCCTGCTTTCGATTAGTGCTCGTCAGTCGGATGTATAGTACCTACACCCCAGTGTGTACCAAAAATTTGAAGAGCATACCACGTCGACCGGGTGAACAAGGTCTGTACCGAAAACTGTGAGGTATATTCTAATAAACAATAAGATAGAAAACTAGAAGCTTGTCGCAAATAAATGCACAATATGCAAGCATTAACGCATGTCTGGAGTTTCCCGTCACAATGCCAGGACATCGATTAATTAGAAAAGGTTTTGACAGAGCAACTTTAGAAAATGTCATTTGGTTTGCATTTTTCTTATGTGGGGCAGGCAATTCTGTTGTTATTGTGGAAATCATTTTTTGTGAACCTCTTTTGTGAACTTTTTTCAGGAGCTATTTGAGTTCACGTCAGCAATGTGTCAAATTTGGTTCGAATTGCTCCAAACTTTCGACTGTACAATGCGGAATTCCACAAGGATCGATTATTGCACCGATAATGTTTATTCTATTTGTCAATGTCCTTCCTCATGCCACTAAATTACTTGTCAAACTCTTCGCTGATGATACCGGTTTGTTCGGAAGTTCAGCTTCGCCAAATGACTTGGAATTGCAGATGAATTCTGAAATGCAAAAAATTGCAACTTGGATGACCAGAAATAAACTCACCATAAATATTGAAAAATCAAAATGCTTTTTAACTACTCCCAGAATAAATGAAAAAAATGAAATTCGGCTTGAGATTATTATTGACAAGGTTCCACTTGAAAATGTCAAGTCATACAATTACCTAGGTATCCACATTGATGAATAATTGAAATGAACATCACACATTAGTTACATTGCTAGAAAGTTGCATTGCTAAGAAAATTACTCACCATGCCAGCTCTCCGATTGGTTTATTTTTCTCTTTTCCAGTCATATTTGCAGTATGGCATTATAACTTGGGGTAGTGCGTCATCGACTTTACTCCACAGATTAGAAGTTTTGCAAAACAAAGCAATTAGAGCCATGTTTAATGCAACTTTCCGATCTAGTCTAGATCCTTTATACCACAGGTGTCGAATTATTGAGCTTGGTCATATCCATGAATTTGAGATACTGAAACTCATGCACCAGTACTTCGATAACAAGATTCCCGTGGCATTCGCGGGAATTTTCACGATGCAGAGTTATTCGCATACTCTACTAGATCAGCTTCGTCAAGTTCATATTATGTCCCAAGATATTCATCAAGCAGAACGCAGAAATCCATAAAATACACGGGTGTGGAACTGTGGAATGCCTTACCAAGTACCATTACATCTTTAGGCTATTACGGTTTCAAATTATATCTAAAAAGTAAATATATTAGTTATTATCTCTCTTCCATCAGCCATTGATTGGAGTATTCAGTATGATTCGCCTTCTTTTGTCCATAGTCGCATTTGTGGACTGTCGCCATGGCTGCCCAAAAAGCCGGCGGAACTATAGGTGTAAGGAGTCTATTTCTAAAGTACCCGGCAGCTTAACTTTGCCATCCTTGGTGCAACCTCTTCACTAATATGTCCAAATTCGTTATATATATGTCAATTTATTGCGCAAGCATATGCCTACCATTCTTTTATAAATTTTATGTCCACCTACTGTGGAGCGTATTGTATATATATATATTTGGGATTTTTAGCAATATTTTAGCAATTTTTTTACGTCACTTTCATTTTTGCGCGTAGGATGGGTTTTAAATGACTAAGGTCTTTTCGAAAAAGGTTGAAAAGCACTGCCTCTGAGCTCACAGGTTTGAAATTTGGCTCTGACACTAAAAAAAGTTGAGAACCACTGCTAAACATCAGTAATGTTGCGAGTGAGTATCTTATTGGCTTCGAATGTGTCCAAACTTCTTAGTGGAACGTGGACATATAGACCGTTTGAATATTATGTTGTTGTTAGAATTCTTTGTTATGTTCTCGTCGTTATGAAAAATCACTTTTATCTTTAACTACTGGATCAATCTCGTTGAAGTTTTCAGTGATATAAGATTGTTGTTAAGGCTAGTATGCTATTATTTGTTATTTATTCCTAGATACTCTATGAATCCTATGATATTTCATTCAAAATTTCGCTATAATATTTTTTACTCGTGGAACACGGTTTTGAATCCCCCTAGTGGGACGGCTGTCGTGCGTTTTGATATTGCAAAATAGTGCGACGCGACAGTTTTTCGATATCGGTGACGATTTGTAGTACTGTTAATGTTTTTATTCTACAGTTGTTATTCCAATCATCTATAGCATTTTAAATCACATTGACACAAGACGCATCATTGTCGCGGGACTTGATAACGCTAGAGCAGTCCGGGTACCTGGGCTAGTAAGTTACAGAGTTTCTGCCTCGTCCCTGATATGGCTTTTGGTAAAATTGTGGGTAATATATTTCGTTTTTGCCAGCGTGTCCAAATATATATCTGAACATCGCTCTCTTATAGTTTCGTCTGATACAACTTGATTGAGTTCCCTTTGCAGAAACATCTTAATGAAATCATTCCAACATGACTCTGCACTGCTCAAAGTAAGGAACAAATTTCGTGATTCCAGTTGCCGAATCATTGTCATGGTATTCAATTTTGCGCCTTGGAAATAATACTTAATATCCGAGATCTGTTCGTTTAAATAGTTTCAGGTACCATTTGGAAACAAATATAGGAAGAATTCTTCTCACGTTGTGAATTTTCGACCGGCGGTAGGGGCAACAGCAACAAATAGCATCTTGTTCTTCTTAGCATTTGAATTTTTCGAACTGGTAGTTTATTTTCGCTGATGAAAGTCTAACTGTAACTTGGGATATGCTTTTGGACTTGGTAGGGGGGCCAATAAGGCAATAGCTGTATCATCAATGTAACCTGTATTCCAACTTTCGCCAGACATTTTAATAAAATCAATCACATTATTTCCGTCGTTGTAATAAATAACAAGAGAGCAATGCTCAAATGTGTGGACACGAAAGCCAAAACGAAGTATTACTTTTATGCAACCTGCCACAGTACACACCGGTACCGCAATCTTCAAGACTAATGCGACCCCAGAACAGCCACAAGGTGTGCAAATTTCGACGAATCCCATAGAGCCCACAGAAATTTTTGAAAGAAATAACCTTCTAGCGAAAAATCCCATCTTTAACCACTGAAAAGCAATTGATCGTGTAATTAAAGAGAAAACCATTTTCTTCATAACGATAAGAAGAAGAAAAAAACCAACAAGAATAAGAACAACATAACAACAAAATGATCCATATGTACCAATAGCATTTTGCCATTTTCCATTAAAATATTAAGTTCAGTTCCGACATCGGAAACAGCAAAAGATTGAGAAGTTTTCCATTCATCCTAATCTTCAAGCGTAGCGTAGCTTTTGTGGTGTCAAAGTTAACGTGTCGAAATAGTGGGTTGTGTTGTTTTATGAAACGAAAATATGCTAAAATCTTCAGTCTCGATACTACTTCCTCAATTAAATTCCCGCGATACTCATGGATGGAACCTTTCTAATGCTATAGAAATCAGATTCTGATTAACTGGTTATATTGTTTCTATTGTAGCGTACCGGCAGTTTATGAAATAATTATCCAGGTTCAGAATATCTTCCAATATGATCTGACGTCAAGTTTCCTCTCAATATTCACTTCAATTTATGCTATTTTATTCTATTTATTAATTATCAATCTTAATACAACCAAACACTCCAAACAAAACGACAAGCATACAATAAAGCGACAAGTACCAGGTAGCACAATGCAAGAAAACAGAATATACACAATAAAAAACACCTTGAATAGTAATTCCCTGACAGCAACCAAAAATACAACGCTAAAATAACTGCAATGACACTGTACTGAAACAATAATATTGGCATACTGTCTAGCATAAAAACATCCAACAAATCCCCATCCCGCAGTCACAAAACCACAAACAAACATCCCTGAGACCAACCGGAGACCAGAGGCGCTCCCTCAGACACTCATGACCAGAATCCAACCGAAAACCAATCACACTGTACCGGTACCAACCACATCACACGGTAACAGTCACACCCAAAAGAACAGAACCGGCAGTGTCACAGCGTCCCCCAGTGTCCCAAGTGGCAAATAAGGCAATAATATCACATGACAGCATTTAACAGATAAAACAAGAGTCGTCACACTATGCTTGGCTCATCTATGCTTGATTTCATCCTCCCGCCTCCACGTTTCTCTGGTGTCCCCAACGATCCTTCCGATTGAGACATCATTTTATCAGCTAATCGTCTGCTTTCACGTTTTTCTGGAGTTTCCAATTCTCTCCCACACTGCGTTCTGATCTTCTTAGCAGATTTTCTGCTCTCGTATTCAACATGAGTTATAAAGAGCCTTGCTAGTCGTTTAAAAACACCTCCTCGCCGCACCTATGAAAACATCCCCACAAGAATGGTCCCTGGTATATTGTGATGGTTACTGGACTGTAGGTTATGCGTATCGACTTCAAACTGAATGTTGCTATAACATTTGCCGAAATTTCGTATTTGACAAGATGGTTCTTCCAGAAATTCCCCAGCCAGGCTGATTTGATTATACAACTTAAGCGAAAGGCCCATATACACATACTGTACAAGATCTAATTTACATTTCCCCCGACGCCTAATAGTCAAATCTGATAGGATAGGATTGTTCATCATATTCATACTGTCATACAGGGGAACGCATAACGATCTCTCGTCCGGTTACTAGATTGGTCAGGTATAGTATAGTACTTGGTATACCACTAATACCAGTATATGAACTTGAATGGTGGAACAGCCGTATCCAAGGGTTATAATTTAGGGGTCGGCAACCTACGGCCCGCGGGCCACATTCGGCCCGCGAGGTAATGTAATCCGGCCCGCCACGCTTCACTAAATTTTAATAACAAACCGGCTGTTTTGACGAACATATTCTTTACGTAATTTATTGTGAGACACGTGCAGACTAAATAATATTATAACCTAACAAGTATACTGTATATACAATTATTCGTTTAATGAGCCTTTAGTTCAATAGTAGTTAGACAAATGTGAACAAAACGCAGGAAAGTTGATGCTGAGTGCAGCGGGTTCAATGACATAGAAAATGTCCAAATATAACTTTTTGAGATGTAATGCAATTAGGAAATATATCTATATTCTATTCAAGAGATGTATCCCTGCTTGATTTTTATATTAGAAAGTATCTTCTCCATAGAATACTCTATCCAAATTTGACAAACCATGCGAAAAAATTAAATTTACATCGATGTTTTGAAGTAAATATGCAAGCAAACAATTATTTTCGAAAATGAACATTAGAAAGAACAAGCTGAGAACTCGGATGAGTGATTCCCATCCATGATATGTGTTAGCCTCGGCTTCATCCAATGTTCCATTTGAAAAAGCGTGATGCAACAAAAAGTGTCTCGTTAAATGTCATTTGTAATTTTTTTTTCCTCAAGTAAGACGACCAAGTTGAGTTCACGAGTTGGCGCAGTCTTCGCGCTCTGCTTAAAATTTAACTTCTGATCTGTGTGAAAAACTATGATTCAACGACTATTCGTTCGGTTTTGGACTTCTTAAAAATATGTGCGGCCCGCCAATGACTTGTATATTAATTTAATTTTGGCCAGCGAGCGACAAAAGGTTGCCGACCCTTGGGTTACATGAACCACCCTACGGCAGCGAAGAGTACAAAAAGTACTGAGTATGCGTGTTTCTGACGCTTTACCGGTTATTCTAAGCCGCACAAATTATCGAAGAGCATAACCGAAATAAGCGAAACCGCCAGTTGCTTTGCGCGGTATACTGTGCCTAATTATAAAAACACGTTCTTCAAAATTTCTGACGTTTTCCAATTATATGGATTATCGAGATGAAACGACTTATTCGAAAGAGTATTTATTTCACACAGGGTAAAGTTCTCGGAATTTCAAATTTTGACTTAACGAGAAAATTAGAAATTTTATAACACTCGGCGCGTTTTCCACTTCTGCCATGGAAACAGAACATCACTTCGATGAGATGACATTACTAAGGTGACTGGATAACCCACGTCAGAAGTTTCATCCAGATCGGTATAGCCGTTTAAACGATACAGGTACACACAGACAGAGCGTAACAGAACGACTGAGAATAAAATTTGAGAATTAGAACCAATAGTAGTGGTTTATTTAGTTACCAAAAAAGTAGTGTTGAATTCATACTTAAACTTCCGCAATCAACTATACAATTGATTTAAATATGCAAAAAGAAAAAAAAAAGTCATATAAACAAGACCAGCATAAGAGAAACGACAAAGGAAACTTTTTAGACAACTTATAAATGCGTCGAATAATCAATTAAATATTGAGAAGACTTTGGTAATTTGCTGGGAAAACCATAAAAATATGATTCAAAATTTTTCAGACTTTGGTGTTTTAGTTTTTCGAAGCTTTTTAAGTACGCCAAGCTGACGTCTCTGAGACTACCAGTAATTAATTTCTGTAAAAATAGTTATACAAACATATTTATAAAAAATAGCTGAATAAAAGCTTTGCTAGCTCAAATAAAGAAAAAAATAAGTAACATCGTCCTATTATAGTACAAAAACACATAATACAGTTGGTTCTAGGTGACTTTCTAGGAAATCATCTTTTGGAAACACTTGTGATGATGACTTATTCCTGCCAAGAAAGCGGGCAGACAAATTGACGCCTTTTCAATTTATGAACACTCAAACATTGTCCAATATAAGAAAGCTGGAGTAGAATATTTTTACTTGTCCTTTGAGTATGAAATTTCTTTTTTCTTGTCCAAATGACAACCATCGTTATCATCTTTTTTGTTCAGTCGCTTTATACATATATCTTTCGCCTTTTTACGTGACAACATAGCGACCAGCGAAATCACAGAAGTTCCAAAGCACAGGGCGTTGTTCAGGCTCATCCCTGGAAAGCAAGCAGTGCGTTAATGAACTGAAAAATGTTTAGAAATATCATCCAATCAGTCACATGGACAGAACCCTTCACATACTTGATATCCCTATTATTAATAAATGATTCCAAAACAATAGTATTTTCATTTGTTCACTTGTTTCATATTTTTGAAGTTACATTTTGATATCTATTAGACGCGAAAAAAGAATACGACGTATTTACATACTACGTGAACTCGAACAACATTAGTTTCCTCTAATGTATTGGTCATTATTTTTGTCACAGGGTGCAGAGAAAAAAGAAGGAAATGTTTTGCGGATCGTTTGACTTTTTCAACTGCATAAATTGTTGACGTGGCAATCGCATCTGTCATAAAAAATTTAGCCATGCCGGAAATGAGCTAAACAATTTTCATAACGTGACCAATGTAATACAGTTTGTTATGAACCTATTTTGACTTTGTGATTGGTGCGGAGTTGCAATTAACCTATTCAGCACGTAGATACAAAGGTCTGTCATTTGTGGCATATACCTACTAAATGGGCAGTTTAGACATCCCCAATATTCACGAAAAATGCATTCTGCAATAGGGCGCAGCATGTTTTCACTTTGCCACATTTTTGTTCAGTGATACAATACAATAGTTGTTTTGTCTCGTCATTTTAGTGGAAAGACATATAGCAATGTAGGTACTTGTCACAAACATACATCGGTCACGGGTGATTGTGCTCATTGTGCGCCCCCTTCACACTACATTATCAAATATTGGTGTTTATCTCGCACAAGCAAACGGGAAAGCAAAGTGTTTTATGAATGCATTCGGGCTAAACAAAAGTAGCCTGATAGAATCTTGAAATTTTTTTTTATAGGTGAATTACCCTGTTGCGTAGAATAATTTGAAATTCCCAAAGAAAGCATAACCAAACAGAATGCAGGGTATAGAAAGCGGATGCTTTGTGTAGCCATCCCCCAGTATGCAATATCAAGAGTCCACCAGATGGTAAAGACCAATAGAATGAATATTGCTCCCATGGTTGCACTTTCCTCTGGCGTGAGAAGGCCTGAAATGACAATATTTGCTGTGATAATCTCGTGTCGTTAATCAAAGATAGAGACGGAGATTGTAAGATTTCCTTTCATATTGTCCCTCGATTCTTCTGATTAGTGATAACATTTTCCTAGTCCAATATTCAGCTCTAAAACCTATCTGAAATCTATTACGATATTTTGAAATGTTCGACCGACATCTGGGACATGATTGGATACTCGGATCTTGTGCCATCCCAAGTTAATACGGGTTGAGAGATTTAGTGGTGGTATCGTGACTAACGAAAGTGGTAAAGATATAGAGCTCAATATTAAAATTGTAAAATAAAAGAACAACAATGCAAATTTTCAAATCAAAATTGCAATTAAATTTTCATTTTGATATTTGTAAATTAGTCACCTGTAAGGATGGCTTCTGATGAGTGCAAAGAATTTTTGTAAGCCAGCGCGTACGCGATAGATATTGCAAAGGCAACAACACTCCACATGGTTAGAAACGCAAGCGATTCAACAACGAGGAAGAGAAACGGATGATTCATATCTGTCCCATTCAAAATTGGAAAGTTTAAACAAAAATTAATTTAATTTAAATAGAAAAATATGATTCATATTACAAAATTTGCTAAAAATATATTTCACCATTTCCTCGTATGCACAATGGATAGAATATCATAAGCAGAATGTTGCAATAATAACATCGGTCAAATATACCAATAACATTATAGGCCTACTCTATTTTACTCAAATACTTTACACAAATATAGGACCAAAAATACAAACTCGGTTTTTGAAGATTCATGGAGTTTACCTGTTTTTGATTCAGTTGATTTTGTTCTGTTCTTTTCGTATGCGTAGAAAATCTTGCATGCTGTTCGAAGACACGAACCGGATAAAATGACAACAGTCAAAACCACTAGAAGCGTTGCAATGTGAGATTCCGCGTCAAATAAAAAAGTCCAGACAGTGGTTAACAACCAGGCTCCGGCCCATGCTACATACAATCTCTGAAATGGATGGCGCATTTTTAACTCAAGAAGAAAAGAAATGCCATTGTCTAGTTCGCTATGAAATTCATAAATAAATTGAGATTGCTTAGCTTACGAGTACATTTGTCCATGTAAGTTGATACAATAATAAAATAACATTCGCAGTTGCTCCGTTAAGTATGAAATCAATAAAAATAAAAGATATCTAGTTTAAGCTTACCGGTGGCAGTTGCAACGATAGTGATTTTTGAAAAAGCATGTAAACCATCGCAGAAATATTCCAGAATAAAACTACTGGCCAGATAATCGAAATCTAAAGAAATTGAAATGTTTATGATAATCATAAATTGTTTCATTTCTATTATTTCTTATCTGTTAAAATAAAAAGATAGTGATAATATAAAAATCATTTTTACCGCCCACGGTGCTGGATAGATGTGATTTTCATACTTCTCTGTGACTTGGGCTGGACTTCCATAGAAAATCCCTGAAATTTTAAAAGTTGATTCCTCACAAATAAAAATAATTTGGGCCTGGTCCAGATAACATTATGTATATTTAGGATATAAAATTATGACTGTGTATCAAAATCATAGGGAAAACGCTTCGAAGCTTATTCCTTGCAAAAAGGCTGTCATGTTTGACATCAGTGATATCTTCTACTATCATAGAAGTATATATACACTATTTTGAATTTATTTTGTGTTTATATTGAGCACAAAAGAATCAGGACAGTTAGTATAGAAAGTTAGGCGTATATACAAAATTCAAACAGCTGGTATGCCTAATAATGCTGTTGATAATTTTCCATTTATAGTAAAATATGACGTACATACCTGCACCGGGAAAAGTTGCCTCCTGATGCCTTATTTTCCAGAAGAAGCTCTTAACAGAATAAACACCAAAGGCAAACAGACAGCCAATGGTTGTCATAAGAGTAGTAAACACGAGTGCGCGTGACATTATTGATAATATTTTTACTTGTAATGTATGAAATCTAAACGATAATGATATATATATAATAAGGTACAAAACCCCTTTTCCATGGGCCATGGACTATATATGGCACTGCGACGAGGTCAATGTATGGGCAATGTTCAACGTAAAAACAGCCCAATACCGAGAAAACAAACAACAAGCTCTTTTAAGTTCCTTAATAGCATTAAAATTCAATAAGCTGTACCCTATAATGCCCCATCATTCCATTTTTTCGGTAGCATGAGGGATATTTGTCAACCCTTTCCCAATATCAAACACGAACGATCCAGTCCATAATGGAAAATATCTTACGCGTTTCAAATTATGAATTATTTTAGCTATAAATGCGGTATTTGATACCTAAATTGCTTATAATATGTGGGGACTACTGTTACGGAACCATTACACGACCATAAATTATTGGACGCATATAACCATTAGTTTTCCTTGCTCCATGGTATTTACTCAATGCATTTAAAGTCAAATATTTCAAACTATTCAAATGACAAGTGTTACTCGCCTATTTTATTCGAACACAAGTGCCCACATTTTTCGAATAACCTCATAACTCAAATAAAATGCACAAGACGGGATAAACCTTAATTCGCAAATGGTAATGTTCGCACCCGTTATCTCGAGAGATATAATTTTATAAATTCGGATTATCGATATCTCCTGCCTATTTAATAACCTCACGCAATTTGAAAATTCAACGCCCCTGCACTTTAATATATATATACATGTGCATTTACCGGACATCCTCATTGAAAATTCCCGTTCTTTTTCAAAAATATAGTTTTTAATTTAGGCAATTGAACACGCTTACGCACTGGTTTCGTTCAAAAAAAAATATTCATTAACGAGGTATGAGTCTTGCGTAGGGGAAGTTTTTCGAATCACCGGGCAGCCTACGTCACTTCTAACATACGTGGGTGCTGTATGCTTTGATAATAACAGGGTAAATAATTCCAAACTGAATTACTCATCGATATTTCAGTCGATGCTGTGCATAGCGATGACTAAGAATTTTGCAAACAAAAAGTAACCGAAACCTTACAATTTTATAACCGTCAATGAAATAGCAGGATTTCACTTTCGAAATACCGGAAGAAAAATATATCTATTGCAAACACACAGATGCTTATGATGAGTCCAGGATAATATATATAACAGAAATCTAACAGGATTGATACAAAATTATTAAAGGTTGTCAAAGTAGGCTTGTTACCAGGATTTAGTCATCAGCAACACTATTCCGATATTTATGAATAGTTTAATTTTTCAAATTCTCACTTCAATCACGCATTGCAAACTTAATCTTCCGATCGCTCGGCTAATACGCTTTGATAATTTTTAATTAACTTTTTTATTTAACATTTTCTGTTACTATACCATAAGACTCGTTTGTATCTCAAAATTACCAACTTGTAACAGGTATGAGAAAGTAGCCCATATCGATTATTTATACCATTATATCAGTATATATTTGTATTTATCAAACTCTACCAAACTCTTCAATGTCACTTCTGATCCACACTTTCCTAAAATTCTTGGGAAACTTTTTCGTGCATAGTTGCGAAGCATAGCTGGGAGATAAAAAGTGCGGAATACTTGTGCGTAATGGTGTGTCGTAAAATCTATTTTAGATATTCCTTTATGTGGTTCTGCGTATAGCAATACTACTTTATTGAAGCTGGTATTTAAATGTGCTACCCGATTATTTCACATTATAAAATGACATTGATTCAACCTACTATTCAAATGACACTTATCACGAAAACAACCCAAGTACTGTTTAGATTCAGATGAAGATTGTTTCTGATGAGTTGGAAAAGTTAAGAAAGTTTCATAGAAGAGGTTTTGTGCAGTAACATATACATGCAAGCACATTGCCCTCGATTCCTTTTATCAATTTGCTTTGTGATCTAATTCAAAGGACATTAGAGCAAGACGTAAACAGCATCACGATAATGTTTAAATGATATGATAACGGGTCAGGTAGAGAGCATTTATATCTTGCCAACAAGCTGAATTCAATATAAAAGGCGAATGAAATGTGCATTATGCAAAAGAGCTCAAGCCAAGATGCCTCTCAAACACTCATACAATTTCATTATTGATTTGTAATTCCAATTTGGCAATTAGGATCAAATTTTTAACATGGCGTGGCGTATGTTTATTTTTTTTTTATTGAACAATGTTTCCTTAAATTATTCTGTTTGATTTCTATTTTATTATATTTCTGTGTTTGTTTCTGTACGTGTGATTGTGTTGTGAATTAACGCATTTAAAGTGAGTGGACAAGTAGGCTACCACTACCTCACCAACAACTTTTTATTTAAAGTTTATACGTTATAAACCTTACCTATAGTTAAGCTAGCTCTCTTGATTCCGTAATCAGTGACCCTTTCCCTCGGAATTAATTAATTACAGTACTTCCATGAAAGAAAAAAATTATTCAAGTTTGTTTGAGCATGAACTCATGCTTGTGTGCTACTATACCAAAAGACGCTTTTTACAAAAGTTAGGCACTTTCTAGCTAGAATATGTTCCAAATGGCCCCCTTGGTGTTGGAGACAGACTTGCATCCGTTTCGCAAAATGGTCAATAACTCGATAGCACTTCTCTGTGGCAATTTTCTCGATATTTGGTGCAACTGCAGTTTTAAGTTAACCAATTGATTGAGAATCTTGGCCTGGGAAAGTGGTTTTCATCCCTTTTGATGGAGCGAAATTCTAGTTCAACATTCCGGAGGCTCGAAAAACCACTGTGGATTAGTTCAATTGTCTTTTGTTGTTCAAATTGTATAAGTATAAACAAAATAAAACCTAATACTGGCAAAATGAAATGATCTTGAAGTGTAGCAAATTTATTAGTGACAAACCCTAACCTGTTACACATACTACGAGAGTATCTTTTATTTATATTTAAACAATATAGCCATTATATAATACACAGATATATTAATATAGACTGTCAGATTTAAATGGATACTTGCAGAATCCCCTGAAATGTATTGACATATCCCTAGGGTGCCACGGAATTCCTATTTAAAAACCATTGGCCTAGGGCAGTGGCCGGCAAACTGCGGGACGAATGCAACTGGCGAACAAATTTTTGTAGCCCTCGGACGACCTCACTTTTAATGCATACAGACGGAATTTGCTCATACATTAGTTATCTGCACACGGACCTATGTCGAAAATTCGCTGCTGTAGGGCTTTTTATTTATAGTAATAAGCGCAAGCCCAAGTTGTATGTCGTTTGGCCTACTCGACTAACATTGGTTGTTATTAACATAGAAATAGGAGTCGCAGGTACGTCATAATTTGAAGTTTAATAATGTGGAGATTGCTTATAGGCGGAAAGAAACGTGGCCCGAACGCTACCGTGAACATGCACATTTGGCCCAGTAGTACAGTGCAGGGAAAGCCCGACTGTCGTCTGGGTTTGACGTGTTTTTGTTGCTCTGTTAAATGAAAGATCAAACAATGCTGTTTGACCGAGATTTGAGAATTCTACGCGCTGTATGTTTCGGTACTTAGTGTTGGATTTGTATCGCGTAATATTAACTCGATCAAAGCTCACTGGAATTAAAGAAGTTTATGGATAAAAGATTGGATTTAAAGTTAAATGGTGGACGATCTGTCACGGGTGTTTTGCGAGGTTTCGATCCTTTTATGAATCTAGTTGTGGATGATGGAACAGAACGCAGAAAAGACGGGACCACTGCACCTGTTGGAATGGTGGTCGTTCGTGGAAATCCGATATTAATGTTCGAAGCATTGGAACGGATACAATGATTTTAAATTGAACCAATCGAAAACTACAAATAAACCCGATACCCCAATCCATGTTTGTGCATAGACTGTTATGAAACATTCAATCTATTTACAGAGTTGTTTTTTTTAGTAACAATTTTTTGTCACTGTGCTATTTTTGCAATGAAATTGAACTATACAGCATCACCATTTTACGTCATCGAGTGTTTTTTATTACATATTTTTGTAGGAAAAGCACTTTTGTGATACATATAACATAGCCATGCATTCCATCCTATCAAAGTGTATTTTTTAATTGGTACCCACCGAGTGTTTATGTTACACAAGTTTGACGCCCGAACGATACCCGTTCGTGTCTTTGTCTTTTTTTATTTTGAATATATGTTTGTGTGTTGAATGTGGGTCAACTGGCGCATGTATATTTACATGTATTAAACCTTTTGGGTAAACTGGTATTGTATTATTAAACTGGTGTATTAAACTGGTTTTGCCAGTTTCCCCGATTTTCCCAATCTTCTGTGTGTTCATTGTTTTATGTTTTGTGTATGATTTTTTTGCGGGAAAATCAAAATATACTTAAACTTATTATATACTTATACAGCGTTTCCCAAACTTTTTTGGTCACGGAACACTTACGCTTTTTATCTCGCCTCGCGGAACACTAAAAAATAAAAGGTTAAATTGATGAAGAATACTATGCAGCGGTTCCCAAAGGGTGTGCTGCTAGTGCGCCGTGGCGACTTGCCGAATGCGCCGCGAAAACTAACATAATTGTGTTCAACATAACTAAAATATATATAATTAAATATTTCACATATCGCATTTGTTATAAATGTTTTATTGCCTCTTATTTTAAATGCCGTGTATACGAATCAATAAGTTAAATTTACCTTTCTATGTCGTTCACTTTCTATTACATAGCGTTTGCCTCTAATATTACGTAACAATGGATATAGAAGTACTTGCTTGCCTTTATTCTTTAGGCCTACGCGTTTGCCTGTAGCAAAACCAAAAATATTGTCTCAAACTTCATAATGAACTTGGGTTACCGAACCGACTAGGGTTAGTTCGGATACCTATAATTTTTACTATCTGGATATCGGATATATCCCAGTATCCCGTATTTCAATTATCCGGTTAACAGGATAGTTACTGCTAATTTTAGCGAACCCATTTCACAAGATTTTTGTGGAGAATTGACCGAAAACCATCACAAAGTTC